TTTCTTTGGTTGTGTCAAAGGGCATTTTTGAGATCTTAATCCAAAGCAGAAAATACAGAGAAAAATGAACCAGGGAAAGCTAGATTAGATGGGAACACAAACAGGATTGAGAAACTTTTCCAAAAGAGAAACACGAAAAGGCAGACGGAGGGAATGAGGCTTTGAAAATTCCGAGCTATTCCCTTGTTCCCACGCTGTTCTTTTCTATCGCTTGTTTTTTTATGTAGTCTTCCACTAAGTCTTTCTTTTATTATTTTTCTTTTTCTTTTCTTTTTTAATTGTAAACTTTCTTTTAATATTATAATATTGATGACTTTATTGTAATACCCTTACACTAAATGTACCTTCTTGGATCACTTTGCATATATTCATTTCACTTCCATATCGCCAACACCTTCCAAGAAATATCCAGCTAAATCACTTTCTATAAGTTTGCTCTTCTTCTTTGCCGGCTCACCTTTTCTTATTATCACGATACAGTTTGGCTTGCAATTGAGGCGTAGTTCTGCTTCTCCTTCTAATCTGCTTGGCATAATTAACTAATTTGATTATCAGTGTCTACTTTCTTCAATTTCTTCTATTCAACTTGCAGGTATGCTAGATTTTCAATCATGATTTGGTGTGCTTATATTATCATTAAAGTACATATTAAATGAAAAATATCTAAATTTTTTTGTAGATGGATGACCTTGTCTTAAATATCTTTTGTTAGATTCCTTAATTTCAAATTGTTTGTTAGTAAATTGTTAGATTATTTTATCTTTAAATTTGCTTTTAACTAATTAATTTGTAAGTATTTAACAAATCTTGTGAGTCATTATTTATTGATCAGATTTGAATTATATTTTAATTTCAGGAAATATTTATCAAATCTTCTGATCACAAAAAAATAGACTTGCAATTAAGCAGATGTATTGCTTCTCGTACTTGGTTTAATTTGGTCATCCTCATCAATTTCTTCAACTTCATCTGTTAAACCTAAAGGTATCCTATCCAGATCCTCAATCTTGATTCTCTTTAGTTTTTGTTAAAGTATATAAGATGAGAAAAATCGAACAATAATGTATCAATAGATACAAATCTTTAGCATATCAACTGCTGCTTATGTAGTCCACTTTTTCGTATTATTTCTAATAAAGTAACTGAAATTTTGAACCAAATAATGTTTTTCTGCTATTTTCAGTTTTCTGTTCAAAAATAATGTTTTTTTTGCTTTGGCTAATTCAATTAATTTGGGTAAACTAAATTCAATCATTTGCCTTTGGGTCCATTATGGTCATGGTTCTTATCTATTTATTATTTATTTATTTATTTATTGTCATCATGGGCATGATTATTGATGAGCTTTAATTGAAGTACTAGTATCAAATTAACTGATTAAACTAGTCTAAATTTTTGGTTATTTGAGTTAATTTAGTTAATTTGATTTACCTAATATAGCAAACAAAATGACACAAACAAAATTTAAACAAAATTAACCAAATTACAATGAAAATTTTAAAATATAGCAATTTTGGTCAACTCTGAATCCCAACACAAATTAAACTGAAAATTTTCAACTAATTAATTAACATTGAGAAATATCCAGCTAAATCACTTCCATAAGTTTGCTCTTCTCCTTGGCCGGCTCACCTTTTCTTATTAACAGATACGTACCGTTTGGTCTGCAATTGAGTGCGTAGTTCTGCCTTTGCTTTTAATCTGCTTGGCGTAAGTAATTTGATTATCAGTGGCTTTCTTCAATTTCTTCTATTGAACTTGCAGGTATGTTAGATCTTCAGTCATGATTTTGTGCGCTTATGTTGTCGTTCTAGTACATATTAAATGAAAGATATCTAAATTCTTTTGTAGATGCGTGACTTTATCTTCAATATTCTTTGTTAGATTTTTTATTTTTAAATTATTTTTTAACAAATTATTAGATTTTTTTGTACTTAAATTTACTTTTACCTAATTAATTTAAATCATATTCTACTTTTATGAAATACTCTTCAAATCCTTTGATTATTGAGAAATAGGCTTGTAATTAAGCAGAACAACTGCTACTTATAATTTGCTTGGTTTAATTTGGTCATCCTCACCAATTTCTTCAATTTCATTTATTAAACCTAAAGGTAAATATACTATCTACTATCTAGATCTTAAATTTTGATTCTTCACTTTTTTAATTAGACAAAAAAATGAAACGAATCAATAAATAAAAATCATTAGCGTATCAACCTTAAGTTTTTGACTCTCTTAAGTTTTTGTTGAAGTATATACTGTGAAAAAAATAAAAGAGCAGTGTACCAATAGATATACATCATTAGCATATCAACCTCTACCTAAGTAGTCCACTTTTTTGTTTAATCTCTAATGTTTAGTGTAATTCGCTTATAACTAAGGTAACTGAAATTTCGAACTAAATTGATTTTGTTTTTATATGATTTTATATTTTTTATAATAAGATAATTAATTAAAATAAATAATAATAATAATAGCAATAATAATAAAAATTATCTATCTAATTTTACGTCAACAGACAACTACTACCACTTAACAAAACCTTCCTATTAATAAATTAAGCTTTTTGGTTCGGAACTTGAGCTTTTTGTAAACTGGAACCACAACTCTTTCAGGCATGTTTGGATTAACACGTGAGAGTTTAAATTTTATACTTTCTTCATCCATTATATGCGCCACAACGTATCTTTCTTTCTTTGTACCACAGAGGCTTCCAACACCAACCATTTCCCTTTTTCAAGTTATGGATCTGCAATGGGCTGACCTTCTCCTGAGTCCCATCATCAACACCACAATTTCCAAGTTGATTTCCACTGTCGCTGAGCAAATCAGCCTTGCTGTCTGCTGGAAGGAGGAGCTTGAAACGCTTCAGAACAAACTGCGCACGATCAAGGATGTGTTGCTGGACGCAGAGGAGAGGAAGGTGCAAGACCGTGCTGTGAAGGGTTGGCTTGAGAAGCTCAGGGATGTGGTTTTTGAGGCTGAAGATGTGCTGGATGAGGTTGCTTACGAAAGTGAGAAGTGCAAGATGCAGAATCAAAACCAAAGGCTGAAAAGGGTGCATAAATTCTTTACCTCCAATCCCCTGCTATTTCGTAGAGAGATGGCTGGGAAGATTAAGAAAATTATTGCATCGGTGGAAGCTATTAACAATGAAGCGAGAGAGTTTGGACTCCAAAATAGACTTGCTGGCACAGTGGTTTCTGAGCATAGAAGAAACGCACAGACCCATTCTACTGTTGGTGATTTATCAGCGGTTGTGGGGAGAGAGGATGATACCTCCAAAATAGTGCACCTCCTAACTGACTCATTGGATGAATCACAGCTTTCTGTCTTATCAATAGTGGGTATGCCGGGTCTCGGTAAAACCACTTTAGCACAAGCTGTGTATAATGATGAGCCAATCAAAAACTATTTTGGTGAAAGGATATGGGTTTGTGTATCGGATAATTTTGAAGTAGAGAGAGTTTTAACAGAAATGCTGGAGTCTCTTACTAAGGAATCTAGTGCAGTAATAAACAAAAATACTGTGATTCAAAAAATAAGAGAAGCTATGAAGGAGAACAACTTTCTTCTGGTATTGGATGATATGTGGGATGAAGAGAGTCACGGGAAATTTGAAGACTTGAGGAGCTGTTTGCGTGGGATATGCAAAAGCTCAAGGAATAGAGTTATTGTGACAACTCGAGAAGAAAAGGTTGCATTGAAAATGAGAATGCATCATGAACCCATCCATCGTCTTCGGAAACTACAAGATGCTGACTGCTGGTCTCTTATCAGGAACAGAGTATTTAGAAACGCTTCTCTGTCTCCAGAATTGGAGAATATCGGATGGGATATTGCTCAATTATGTGGAGGTGTGCCATTGGTTGCGAGAGTTATAGGAGGTATTTTGTGTACAGAAAATTTGGACAGAGTCACGTGGTTGTCAATTAAAAGCCAGATTGAGGCATTGGGTCCACTTGAACATGATAGAGAAATGAGAGGTGTGATAAAATTGAGTTTTGATCACTTGCCAGAGCCAGCTTTAAAGCAATGTTTTGCATTTTGTTCTATTTTTCCTAAAGATTTTGTTATGGATAGGGAGATGTTGATTCAATTTTGGATGGCTAAGGGATTTCTCCAATCTGCTGATGAAAGTCCTATGACAATGGAGGACATCGGTAATAAGTATATAAATGACTTGTTATCGTATTCCCTCTTTCAGGAGGAGGAAAGAGATTCATTTGGAATCCTTATTAGTTGCAAAATGCATGATTTAATTCATGATTTTGCACAATTAATTTCAAAATCTGAGATAATGATCTGGAAGTCTCAAAGGAATATTTCTAATGTTCGAAATTTGAATCTCATTTATGGTGTGGGAACAGTGCCAACAAATTTAATAGATGTTGCTCCAAAGCTACAGACTTTGTTTTTAAAGGATAGTTTTTCTAGTGATATGAAGGTGGATCTTAAAAGTTTACGAATTTTGAGTTTTGTTGATTCTGTTGATGCTAAAGAATTGCTACCATGTGTTAGCAACTTTAAGAATCTGAGATATCTAGACATTTCAAGAACTCAGATAACAAAACTGCCAAAGTTCATCCCCAAGCTATACAAATTGCAAACATTTAGATTCATGACTTGTAGATCTCTAGAAATGCCTCCTGAAGGAATTGGAAGTTTAATTAACTTGAGGCATATATACTTTAGTGATGAAGAACAAATGCCTGCAAACATTGGGAAACTAACTTGTCTTCAAACATTGCCAATGTTCTTTGTGGGCACAACAATGGGATGCAAAATTGAAGAATTGGGTAGCTTGAGAGGGCTCAAAGGAAGTTTGAAGATCTGTAATCTTGAGCATGTTAAGGACAAATCAGAAGCTATGGGAGCAAAATTACATGAGAAGACAATTTATGAGTTGAGATTAAGATGGGGAAAAGAAAGCAATCGAGATGAAGATGTTTTGGAAGGTCTCCAACCACACTCAGATCTGCAAGTACTAGAAATTGATGGTTATGGAGGCAAAAACTTACCATCATGGATGTTGAAGAATGTCTCAAACTGTGATCTGTTTTTGCTCAAGAATTTGGCAAAATTGAGACTTGAAGAGTGCAAGAAGTTAGAAAGTATTCCAGTAATGACAGGATTTTCATCTCTTCAGATGCTTTCTATTTCAAGCTGTGTTGAATTGGGTATAATAGCCGATGGAGCATTTGTTAAATTGGTGTCCCTTAAAGAATTACGCATATTCAATTGTCATAAGTTGGAAAGGGTTTCATCAAATGGTTTATCATTGCCTCACTCACTCTTAATTCCAGATTGCAAAGAGTTGAATAGCCTATCAACCTCCACGTGTTTAAAAGTTTTATCTTTCCGTTTCTGTGAAAATCTAAGGTCCATTCCAAGTCTATATGGGCTAAGTTGTCTTGAAGAGATATTATTTATAGAGTGTGGATTAGAGCATCTACCGAGCGGGCTATCATCTTGCATTGCTCTTAAGAAGTTAATAATAGCCGGTTGCCGTAGCCTGATCTCTATTCCAGAAGAATTGAAGGAAATACATTCTTTGGTTGATTTGTGGATTGATTCCTGTCCAAAATTGAGGAACATCCCAGAAAATACCCTCAATTCCCTTACCAACTTGAAGAGATTGACGTTTGGTGGCTTCTCGGAAGAGTTGGAGGAATTCTCTGCTTTTGGTTCCATCCACAGCCTCCAAGGATCCCTTGAAGAGTTGCGCTTGACTGGATGGGGAAAACTAACTGAGTTTCCACCTGAAATTCAAAACCTAAACCTTACTGCTCTAAAACAGCTGGCAATTGTAGATTTCGAGGAAGTGGAGACATTACCGAAGTGGTTAGGAAGCTTATCCTCTCTTAAATCACTACGTATTTGGAGTGGCCGTCGATTAAAGTATCTACCAAGTGGGCTGTCGTTCTTCACAACTCTCGAGCACCTTGGCATATACGGATGTCCTAATCTGGTCTCTGCTAACTTAGAGGAGATCCTTGGCGGCCTTGCTTGCTTGAAGAAATTATGGATTGGTGGTTTCTCAAAAGAGTTGGAGGAATTCCCAAGTCTGAGTTCCATTCACAACCTCGGCACTTCCCTTGAAGAATTATTTTTGTATGGTTGGGAAAAGCTAACTGAGTTGCCACATCAAATTCAATACCTCACTGCTCTAAGGCGCTTGCTTATATCTGCTTTCGATGGAGTGGAAGCTTTGCCAAAGTGGTTGGAAAACCTGTCATCTCTTCAAGATCTAGGGATTAGGCATTGCAAGAATCTGAAACATCTCCCTTCTGCAGAAGCGATTCGATGCCTCTCCAAATTGACATACCTCTGCATTTCTAAGTGCCCAGAGTTAGAGATAAGATGTAACAAGGAAAGAGGCCCCGAGTGGCACAAGATTTCTCACATTCCAACAATCAAAGTGAATGGAAAGTACATATAATCACAAGATTTAGGTTTCCAAGAGCCGAATGGTATGTCTCATCTCTAAAATACCAACTCCTATTTTCTCTTAATAACTCCACATTTGGTAATATCAATCAATATGACCATCATGTTATCACATGAATATTATTTAACTTCATTTTTTTACATATTAATCTAATTACAAGTTTCCTTTATTATTTTACACTTTTTTTAAATCTTATTCCATTTCTTTCACTTGATGTAGCTGAAGAATAAATAATCGGTTGATTGGAAGGAGGATTTATAGAATTCAGAAATGAACTCCAACGACTAGAATTTCTTAGCTTCTAGCTTCAGATAATTAATTTTGTGAATTATAGTTGTGTTCTTGCCAATTACCTTAGTGTTATTTGAAATACTATCCTTTCTCATAGCAAAACCTATTGTTGTGAAGCAGAGAGTTGCATGAAATTAACAACACGAAAATTCATTTTTGGTTATGAAGCAGAAGATTGTAAAAGATGAGTCAGCTATTATGTTTGTTGGCTTTATATCTGTTTAGGTCTTAAATATACCTAACAGATCCTCATCCAATAAGTTAGGCAATGGCCGGGGAATGGTAGAAATGTAGCTTCACCAAGGGAAAATCATTTTGGTATGCTTTCATATTTTTTAGGAGTCTTAATTACCATTTGAATTTGAGTAAGGTCTTACAGTAAAACTTACTTCTTTTGAAATTTTTTTGACAGTATAGGATGTTCTTAGAGGTGCTCAATTTTAATCAATAGGGAAGATATCTTACATCTATCATGTGTTCATTTTGAAGGAAAATTGTTGCAGGTAAGTGGTCAGGCCAAATTTTACTAGTTATGGTTCATTTAAAACGCATATGCTCTTTCAATATTCCTCAACATCAGCTGCACAGTTGAATGATTTCTGTAACAAAACCTTTTAAAAAGAATTTGTTTCAGTGTTTGATTTTGAGAAATTTATATGACTACTGGCGCAATTAAGGTCATTTACCTTCTGATGTAGTAGAAGTCTACCATTCAGTGAAGATGTGAAGAGTAGGTCAATGGTGGATACTTGTAACATATGTGAGGAGCAAGCCCATGGTGGATACTTGTAACATTGTCTTGGATGACATGTGCTTAAATAGTAAGTTGGTCAGCCTCAAAGATAATTTGCATTCCTGATAAATTTTTGTCTTCAACTTAATCCAGAAGTTGACAATCATTTGACTACACTTCGACAAAAATATTTCAATTGGTTATGCAGTAATCTTAACTCGCCCTATGCATCAAGGGAAGGAGAAAGACATACGAGGATTACTGCAGCAAGAGGCATGTTAAGATGGTTCTCTTTAGGGTTTTCTTAATGTATATTGGTTTTGCTCTAAAGAAAAACTAAGAAAATAGGAAGCAGAACAACTGAACTATTTCATTGAAGATTGAAATATGTACAAGTCTGGTATAACAGACAAAAACAAAATGGCAGTAAAGTATGTGCAAACTTGCTGTCACAACTTTAACACTCAAGGTACTTGGATCATGGGGAATCATTGCATTATGTGTTCTTAAATGAGAGGTGTTATTATTATTGTTGTTGTTGTTGTTGTTTCAAAGTATTTTAGGTTTTATGTTTTGGAAAAAAAAATAAACTTAAGACAGTCATTGTACTATTCATTTTAATGGTGGATTTTGGTGCGGTTTTTGTCTTGTGATTTTTCCCTCCACGTCAGAGGGTTTTACGCGTAAATTCTGTGTTCTTTGCTATCTCTATTTTCTATGGTGCCTAATATATTTATATGGCCGTCACAGTGATTTATACTCAATGTTATTGGTTTGGTTGGAATCTGGTAACCTGGGCTTCTAACATAACTATTTAGTCTATTTTACCATGCATCGTCACATTCTTGCTTATGAACATTATGTTAATGATTGCGCTTAGTGATTAGTGGAGCTTGAATTATTTAATAAATGAAGTTCAGCTCATTTTCTTAAACAAACTTTATTTTGAATCTGGGATTTGAACTTGGTTAGAACATAAAGCTCGAGCTGGGAATATAAGATTAGTCTGAGCTGGAGCACAGGGATTTTACATTTTTGCAGAGTAAATGCAGAATCTCCCTCAACCACCTCCCTGTCTATAATGGCAGATCTTCTCACCCATAACTGTTGTTAGTGCCATCTCTTTCTCATGAATCTGTTTAAGCTTAAGCACAACCATGTCCATTCTTGGCCTTCCATTTCCAGGGAAACTCATGCATTGTAGCAGCCTGATCAAATTCCGGATTCCCTCCATGGTAAAGCTTCCAACAAGCTAGCCATCAACAAAAGTGTTTGAACATGGCTGTGATCAAACCTTCAAAAAGTAAGAAAAGCAATATAATTCAAGTTCTCTTTTGTGTTTCTCAAAAGGAAGAGCAAGCAAGACTTGGAAAATGTTGATCAGTTCGAAGAAAACATCAGAAATGAATAACATTCTCCTACCCACTGAATCAAGATTTCATTGGATCTGATAGTCTATATTCGCAGCTTGCTGTCCAGTTACTAGCTCCAAAACGAACACCCCAAACCTATAAATGTTAGTCATTTCAGTAAAGTTCCCTGATTCTCCTACCCTGACATTCACCCAAAGTCTCAGCTGAATGTAAGTAAAGGATTAAAACTTTTCATAGTAGAAACCAAATCAAATCAGAAGAAATATTTTTGCTCTGGATCTTGGAAAACATCAACAGTAGATGTGCAAGATAGATCTGCTTCTTCTATCTTTTCAGGTGTCCTTAACACCCTAGCATCTGCAACCTTAGCAATGAAGTTCTCATCAACCAGGACATTGGATGTTTTGAAATTTCTATGTACCGAAGGAGGCTTTAGGCTGTGCAGATGGTGTAGACATGCACCAAGTAGACAGAATTTCCTTAACCAAAATGAAAATTAGCATTTCCCTCAGTGGATTCTTCTAGATTTACCTTGGCTGCCTCCAGAGCTATGGATAGCCTCTGCTTGAAACTCTAATCCAGTATCTGAAAACCAATTAATGGATATATAAAATGTTGCATTTACAGTCATGCAGAAAAAACCAATTTTGTTAAAGGACTCATACTATATAAGTGATTGCACATGCTGCAATTTGGTACTTACTAATATACTAAAATTTGTGATCCACTTTCTTGACAATAGCCTAGAAGAGAAACTAAGTTCGGATGTCGAATCTTTGACAGATAGGCTACCTGTTTGTCATATAAACATGTTTCTTTCTGTTTCCAAATTTGTAAAGCTAGAGAAAAGTACTAAATCGTTAGGCATCTTGATCAAATTGATCACACCATTTTACAGAATGAGCTGACCCCATATCAAAAGTAGAAGAAATGATCAGAAGGAAAAGAGTTCCT